TCTGGACTCTGATTGACTGCGGTCACAAACATTTGAACCCCATCCCATGGAATAAATATGCCCACAGCTGGCCTCATAATATCACGAATCAAACCCTGCACCTCACCTCTGTACTGTGAGGCGGACGTGCTCTCTGTGTGTGTGTGTGTGTGTGTGTGTGTGTGTGTGTGTGTGTGTGTGTGTGTGTGTGTGTGTGTGTGTGTGCGCGCGTGTGCGCGTGCGTGCGTGCGTGCGTGCGTGCGTGTGTGTGTGTGTATGGTGTCTTGTCACTGTGAAATGTAAAATACTTAATATCAAATGAGAAAGTTGAATGAAGTAAAGAGGTGGTGTGACCCTTTAAAGTACAAAACACAATTTGAATGTAATATAAAGCAAGATTTGAATGCAGCCTGACTTCACTATTCCCACAACCCACCCCCCTTCCAATCGCGAGAAATGCTTTTTCACCTTTTTAATTTATGAGTAGTACATGTTATCTACCAACAAATACATTTGTACTGTGATCGTTTATTTTTTTATGAACTACTTGTTGGCTAAAAGTATTATTGGCCTGTCCTGGAGATAAAAAATTGATGAAAATTGCGTGGTTGACAGTAGGTGCATAAAAATTAAAAATACCGAAAGCTAAATTCTTTGGACACCTCCAATGCAAATCTTCACAGAGTCCTTTTTAGTTTTTACAAAAAGTTTAATAAGCACAACTGGCTGAATGATGAATGAGTAAGCTGTGGTTTCTTTGGAACTAGAAAGAGGCAGAGTCATATAAGGAGGAGGAAAACATTTCCATCAGAGTCCCACTTCAGCAAGGGTTGCCTGTACTGCAGTCAAACCATTGTCGTAGGTAGACTATTAACCCCCATGTGTTGTGAATGAAGGACCCAAATGGCGCTCATTAGTGGTCTCTCCCCAACAAGCCCTCACAGACGAGTGTGGGTTATAAGGCCCGCCCTCTGCCAGCAAACCCACAGTGAAGCAATCGTAAGATGTGACATTTGTACAAATTGCTAATTTCCACCTGAACTCCACCCAGGCTTTGCGATGCATGGAACAGATATGAAAACTGCATTCCTTGTCAGCAGAGCAATCAAAAGTCCAAATAGATACATCCCTCCGATTTAGACCTGGGAAAAGTACAGCCAGCAGGCCACATCCAATCTGTCCACAGCCTTTTCAGGCACTTGTAGAGTTGATGAAATTTCAAAATGAAACATAAAATATGGCATCCTTGTATTTTGAAACTGGTGCATTTATATTGTTGTGCATGCGCGACTTTATATGCAAACAAGAACTACGTTTGCGTCTGACTGCCTGTAGTGCTGCCAACTAAGTAACATTTTTGCGAAAGTGTTTAGTGACTTTTCCGACCCCGCCCCCCCCATGACAATTCTTGGGAAAAAAAAAGGACTATCAAAATGCCAACAGTGGTCCTAATGTGAACAGCAGTCTTATTGCACGGTGGAAGGAAGAGAGAGATTTGTCCTGTTATCACATCATATCAACAGTTCCATAGACTGTACGTACAGGATCCCTTATAATTCATCTTAAACTGCCCATCCCGTACTGATACGTCTGAGTTATTGGGTCGTGATGTTGTTTCGAAAACAGATGTTAATAAAATGTGAAAAAGTATTCTAGAGGCTTATGTCCCACTGTAATGAATTTGCTTATATCGCACCATAGCTCTTAATCATTGAATTCTGGTGATTCATTTACCCCCACTGCTACAGATGTAGACAATCAAGTACCTATTAGTGCAGTCAGCCTTGATAAACGTCTCTCACAGAGTTATTGAAAAGAGCTCACTGAATTTGTGCAGGGTAATTTAATAGGTCACTTCTATTACAACACACACGTAAGTGAAATTCCTCCTGGATGATCCACCATTAACTGAAAGTTTTATTGAAGTGGAAGCATAGTGTAGTTTTAAACCTTGTCTGGCATTAACATCAGCTCACTTTTAATGCCAGCAAGTTTTATGGCATGAGGTCCAATGGCTGAGCCGCTGCTTTGTCACCAAGCTTGATGCCAGCTGTCAAAACTGAGTGGTGTGAGACACACTACCACTGGGCACCAGCACAGCTTCTCAAACAGACAGCTCGACGAACACGTCTGTTTGGCAATTAGGCTACCAGGAGAAGAGTTGCTTCCTGAGTGCATCAAGCAGCATACGGTACTGTATTTTGGACAGTTGTATGTTTCCAACTCGGTGCGAACAGTATGGGAAATAACCGTCTCTGTGAAAGTACCAATTAGCATTTTGAAAGCAAAGTCTATGGTTGGCTTAGTTTGCATGGAAAACATAAGGAAATGTAATGGACATAAAAAGTCTACGCACCCCTGTTTAAATTCTGTGTTTGTACTGTAAACAAATATTACAGCCCAAAAAAATACTTTCAAATGTATTCGACCATTACCTTTGCTCTGTAACATCTACCAATCCATTGAAAATTAGTTTTAAATCTTTTTGAGAGGAAGAGTCAAAATAAACAACTGAGATAATGTGGTTGCACAAGTATGCACACACCTCATAACTGGGATGTGGCTGTGTTCTTCATCGACCAATCACATTCAAACTCTTGTTTATGGGGTGTCAGCATACATCTGCCACCATTGATATGTGCCTCTTATTGACCCAAATAAAATTCAGTTGCGCTATTAGAATTTCCTGCCTTTTTTGTTTTTGCGCTCTCACAGAACCTTAAAGGTTTTGTTCCAAAACTGACTGTTATTTTGAAGTCTTCTAATTTCCTCCATCTTGACTAAGGCCCCAGTTACCGTTGAACAAAAACAACAAACAGCCCCAACGCATGATGCTGCCAACACTGTGCTTTACTGTTTTATGATGTTCTTTTTGTGATGAGCAATTGTCTTGTCCAGGGAAACCAAGACGACGAAAGTATTTATTAAAAATTATGAGATTTATCTAAGAAAGAAAAAGAAAAGAAAAAAAAAACATGGAGGGACACCGTTCACAGATTTGTCAAGGGAGCCTTCTCCCTCTCCGTGTCTTGCGCTCTCATTTTATCTTGTTGGGAGGTGGTGAAGGCCAGCGCAATCAGCATTTTGAGCAGCTACACAGAGTACAGACGAGTGCATGAACAGGCAACTTTGCTTATCCGCAAAATAACTGGTCAGCATTCAAAGGTACGGTCGGCATTCAATAATACGAACAGTTACTTCCATTTAGTGCTGTGAAATGTCAAATTCCCATTACACAATATTTGCGCCAAACATACCGTTTGGAATTATGGCCAAGATGTTGCACCCAGGTTTCCGCTTTCCATAACAAAATCTTCTGTGTAATGATCAAATGAAACAAAGATAGACCATTTTTTTTATGTTTCTTTTAAACCCAAGCCAATCTTAGCTACATTAAAAGCAATTTTGTTCCATTTTTAGTTTTGTAAGCATTGAGACGTGGCCGGGGTGAGCAGAACATGGAAAAAAGTGTGACCATGGTTATTTAAAGCTTGGACGTCTGTCGTAATGGTCCAGATATTCTCTGCTGCTGTGTGTTGTTTGCTAATGATGCATGAGACCATTCAAACTCTGGCGTCACATTGACACCAGACACCCAAGTTTGTTGACCAAGCAACAGGAGTTTTTTTATTTCTTTTTTCTTTTTTTAATGTGTGTCTTTGATAATGTACGAGTTGCAGCTACAGAAGAAACTTACTGACATATGAAGTATATTAATGTTAGGGCAGGTATCTAAAAAAAAAAAGGAAACTAATGCGTTTATCATACAAAAAGCAGAGCTGTTCAAGCTGTGCACATATTTTTTTCTTTTTTTTAATGACCTAAAGGGTAAATAGGCAAATGTATACGTTTTAATGGCTTGCAATTAGTTGGGTCACTGGAATGCCTGCCCACCCATTAAGTGTTAAATTAAGCAATAGAAAGTCCTTTAGCTTTGTGTGTCAATGCTCCACAGACACAAGTTGTAATCTATTATCCTGCCTCGATGAATGAAAATGCTTTTATTTTCTAGGGCGCTAATTTTTTTTTCCACATCTGGACTCTGACTCTGTTGCAGAAGCAAGCAGACGGAGCACACTGGCCTCTGAGTGAATGTAAAATAGGAAGCTGCTACAGCCAGGCAAGTCGTCGTCATTGAAACAAAAGCCAGACTCATTATTGGCCCAGTGATACGTGGGGTGGGAGCACAGCTTGCTCACATGGACGAAAGAGATTACCCATAAAACAGCTTAATTTCAGGTTTATTAAGTATGCTATAATTATTGATCCTTGAGGTATTTTGTGTGTTTTTTTTTTTTTTTTGTTATTACTATTATTATTTGTGAGTGGCTGGCAACCAGTTCAGGGTGCCCCGCGCCTACTGCCCGAAGACAGCTGGGATAGGTATAAGTGACTAGGAAAATGGATGAATGGATGGATATTATGATTATTATTTTTACAAATGTACGGTATTTTACTTAAGATAACTGGGAACTTTTTTTAAATTGTGAAAATAGCACAAAAATGTCTGTCTGTTTTACAATTTCAGCAATGAAATTGGCTTTGAAAGTTTGTTAAATTGAGATTTTTTTTTTTGAGCAAAGGCTGGCTGGCATTTGCTCATCTATCAGGTTACAGTGTGAGGCCTTCTGTGGACTGGGCTTGTTTGATTGAACACAAAGCTGATATACTCGCATTTGCTATCAAATGGAACCATTCAATTGTATTTGTAATTATTAAACAATACTTTTCACACAAATTAAGTAAAATCGGGTAATTTCCTGCAGCCCCCCGTGATGATGTCTCACTGCACACTCGGAACCATGTGTGACACTCAGAACAGTGTGTGAATATTCAATTTCATTTAATTTTTTTGGATCTCCCCCTTGAGATGAGTCATCTCAATTTGGATGGGGCTATGTTCCGTCTCAAGAATGCAAACTGAATCGTCCCTTGATCATCCGCTTGATAAATTAAATTAAAATCGAACGCAAACTACTGTACCTGTACTTCTGGATACCTAGGCTCGGAACTTTGTTTATGTTGCAAAGGTTCCCACACGGAAAACTGTATCGGGTGAACGCACCACGGCACAGCTAACAGTAGATAAATAAAAAAACCGAGTGATAATATGGCAGAGGTGGGTGAGGTAATATTGTAAATAAATGCTTTCTTTTTCGTTTGTTGGTCTGATATTGATTGGTAACAAAGATACAGATTATCGACGGTACCTTATCAATAAATCGAATGGTGGATTTAGAAACTATGACCCATTTTATCGATACATTAGGAATATATGATTTCTCGATGAAGTGAAGAGGACGTGTTTTATTTTAAACATAGCTGCACTACAAATGTTCTTTGTAAATATCGATTTTGGCTGATCGACCGGGGCTTCCAATCATATTTTTTAATTGCCGTAATGACGTAAACGAATCGGGAATTATTTTCGTTAAAACGGCCTGAGCAATTGTGTAATCGTGTGCCCTGCAAGCGAATCGCTGCTTTTGGATGCATCGATGAGATTTGTGATGGCAACCTTAGGACAACAGCAGTTATTGGGACATTGGAATCACTTCATTAGCTGCCAAATAACAATCTCGCCAGTGTTGCTTCAATTAACCGGTCGATATATTATTGTGACTATAGCCGTGTTTCATTTACGATATGTCACAGAAGCACTGTAATGTTTATGTAACAATAACTACACTATAAAAACTGCAGCAATTATACTGATGATAATGTGTTAAAAATGTGTTGCTACAAATATTTGATTGAATGACGTACAGTATTCATCATTTGACATTTCCATCTCATGTTTTCACAGACTCATAGTTTGCATCCCATTAGGCAACAGGCTGCAATTGCTGCCAAAGTCTTCATACAGAGGGATTATACTAATGGCACTGTGTGCCAATTTCAAACCAAGTTTCCTTCTGAGCTGGAAACCAGGGTAAGATAACTGCATTTATGTGTAAATACTGTTGTTTTTTTTTTTTTTAATCCGATAGGTGACTTTCTGTGTGAAGGAACTATTAAGAACTCATCGTGCATGGTTGAGGGGGCACCAATGTCCACCAATGGCAATACCTTTAATCACGTCCACAGCCATGCACACTTCTCGGTACAAGATTAGATAGAACAACCCAGTAAAACACAATGTTAAACATCGTTGCACACATCATTAATCAGAGAAAGTCAACATGACCACAGTCTGCAAATGTTCTCCTTGCCATTTCAAGTAATCTCTCTGGTCTGACTCACGCAGTCTGACCACCTGTATGGTCTTGCCCAGGAAGTGATTGCTGCGGTGCAAGTTACTCACTCATAAAATTCAGGGAATGGATTATTTGTATGTTGCATATGAACTAGTTCCCTGAATGCAGGCATGTTCAAAGTTTGACCCACAGCACAGTTTTTACTGGCCTTTGGAATATTCTAAAAGTGATATTTAATATTGCCTGCCACACCATCTCCCTTCTCTCCGCTAAGATCACCAGTCAAGAAAATGTGTGCTTGACGATCAAAAATCTAATCGTATATTACTCCTATGATCAGTAAAATGGACATGCTTAACCCTTTCATGCAACCTGTAACCTGATAACATGATAAGCTGGCCACTGTAGTAACCGCTGTCCCTCAAAGGGTTACATTTGGGAAAGGACAAATCAATCCGGTTAGGTCTAATTCGTCCTGACCAAGCACTGTCATCTAAAAATAATTTTGGTATTGTAGTTGTAGTTTTTAGGGATCTCTTTTGGTGGTCTTTTGCATCCCATAAAAGTAAGCAAAGTAACTGTGAAAGTACCAATTTGATTATGTCTGTCAGATATTGTACTCATGTCAAAAATGGGCACGAGTGAGGTCAAGTTGTGTGGAACAATCCCGGGGTGGAAAAAGGTCATTGTGACCGAGCAGGAGCTATGCAGCATTAATAGAGAGCAAGTGATATCTTGACATCTAAATTGCAGCACACACAAATAAAATGCAAAAGGAGTTATGAAAAGAAATCAAGTTGACTAATGAAGTTTGTCGACTGAACTTTTGTAGGGCTGCTGTTTTGTTTTCTTGACATTCCTAAAAAGAATAATACCCTCCCTCACTTGTAATCTTGTCGGAATGTTAAATATCAGGTCCAAATGCAATGGACAGATGCCCCGACAGAGAAATGTGGTTTGAATCGCTGCATCTGAGTTGGAAAATTAGAGGAAGAACAAAGCTTCGGGCCTTTTGCCACATTCCTCGGGCACATGGGAGCGGAACTTGGGAAAGTTGTCAGAAAAGCAAGATTCCCCCAGCTGCCTGCTTGTCTGGTCTGAAGATTCTTCTTTCCCCAGTATCAAATGAGAGATCCGAAAATCTGTTCTGGACACCCCGTGCATAAGTCATATCAGTTATATTTGACATCTCTGTCAAGCAGCCTATTTAAATATCGGTTCGTCATGGCTCACTTTATAATTTGGGAGCCGGGAGAGCGGCTGAGATTTTGATCTGTTTATCTTAGTTAAGGCATCTAAGTAGGACTGGAGCCTTCATATTTCTGGATTTTTATGGTGTGCATCCAGCTATCAGTCCTCTGGGGATGACATTCAAAGAACACATGGTTATGGGCATCTTAACCTCTCCAGGATAATTATTATCACCTGATATGCACGTACTTGCAGTCCAAGAAATATGAAGTAAGTATTTCAAAACTGAGTTAAGCTGGGCTTGAACGCCGTCGCTGACAATGCATATTTGAAGTTGGAGGATGTGAAGTCAGTGAATCAGAATTAGAGGTTGCATTCTGCTTTTCTCGATGGGAACTAGACGACATGCAAACTAGGTAGACAGATAGATGGATCGAGAGCGAGAGAGACAGATTCCCATGATAATGTTCAGTCAGTCATGACTCCCAAATATTGGAATGACTCCACCTGTTTTATACAAAAATTACAAATGACAGTGGGAGCTACAGATAAGGGTTTGGTGCTGAAACCCCATATCCTTTTTTTTAATTTTTTTTATTTAATGTGTTAATTTCCAGGGCATTGTTTTGATTCCATGTCACAAACCATGTCCGCGCCCTGTTGATGCAGGGCCTGATTATCTGGAGTTATTTAGCAGCGTTGAATGCAAATTGTTTGAATGTTAGCTTGGATCTTATCATCATGTTGTATACTTTCAGGTGATTAAAATCTAGTGAAGAACGCTTACATTTTACTTTGTCCTTCTCTTGTGTTAACATTTTTGCCATGTCCCCCCCCGAATGATGCGTTTAAGATTGACAAACAGCAGTTTGAAGAGACGGTGCGGATGTTAAATAACCTCTATGCTGAGGCAGAGAAACTTGGAAGCCACTCATATATTGAAGGTTGCCTGGCCTGCCTGACAGCTTATACCGTGTTCTTGTGTATGGAGACACATTATGAGAAGGTGAGTGAAACTTGTGTGGACAAAGGAGCAATCCCTAGCCCCTTGTACGCTTGAACTCTCAGCCAGCTTTGTCACAGTTTTTTTTCCTGGCTTGCAGCCCTGTATGTCAAGTAATGAAACTGAATGACATTGTTCTTGATCAATACATTTTTTCCCTCCTCTTTCTTTGGAAAATCACATGTACAAAAATCCTGAACTTGGACAAGTTCTCTTAAACTTAAGCTACCTCACACATTTTACGATAGATGGCATTTAAAGTACTGTATTTATGACACGATAAGACGCTTCGCATTGTAAGGCGCCCCTTCAATGAATGACCTATTTCAAAACTGTTTTCATATATAGGGCGCACTGCATTCATTATAAGCCGCATAGAATAGAAGCTGCAGTTGTGCGATGCATCCACTCGATGGGGCTACGCTAAAGGGAATACAATACAATACAGCTTTATTTCCATAGAGCAAAGTCATGCAGAACTGGTCACAAACACGGACATGAAACATATAAATACAAATGGCATTATAAAACAATAAATGATAGACAAAAGTTATGAAGACGATTGAACAAAAAGGCACACGTAACCTCGTGGGCTCACATCCACAAGGGGCTAAATATCCTTCGAAGTCTTGCTTGTCTCCTTCCTTCGTTTAGTCAGTCGTTAACTATGCTTTTGGTATTATCTTCGTTTCATAATGGCTGCGCAGAGCTCACAAAATAGTTATTTGTTTGAGTGTGTGTTGGCGACTGCAAGTGTCAATTAGTGTCAGGTAGAACCTTTTAGGTTACAATTCATTCCTGCTAATAACCACCACTAGATGGCATAGGAACGCTAACAGGGAAACAACTCAATGGGGAATGTAAAGAGAGTTACAGTCTCTTTATATTAGGCACACTGATGGCTTTTGGGAAAATTGAATGCTTTTAGGTGCGCCTTCATAGTGCGGAAAATACAGTTATGAATTGTTTTCTTGACAAAAACAGTGTCTTAAATAAAATGTATTATTATTATTATTATTAAAGTTTGAAGGTCAACACAGAGTTTGTGGATAGATGGAACTTGTGATCTTAGTCATCTGGCCTAGTGTGACTGACATCCTCCAAAATGTATAGGGCACTTTCCTATCGAATGTGAAGTTTTTAAAAATCAGTGCGTCTTGAGCACTCCGTAGTTAACTTGTAGTATGCCAAGCAGCATTTGAACCCATTTGAACATTTGCTCTTCAAAGCTTTATGAGCAAAACTACACCATCTTAACTTTTATGGGAAACTTGTTGCAATTTCAATTGATCATCTTCTCACTTGTGCATGAATTCTAATTCGTCAAACATCTTTGTCACGTTTTTGCATCTGCGAGAAATGCACAGTACCGGTATTTTAAATTGGCCACTGTGCTCTTTTTACAGGTTTTAAAAAAGATCGCCAAGTATGTGCAGGAGCAGAACGACAAAGTGTACGCCCCCAGAGGTCTCTTGCTCACCGATCCCATCGAGAGAGGCCTTCGAGTTGTATCCTCTTCCTCAGCGTCCGAGATGAGTTGGGACGGAACGCTCCTCTCTTTCTTTTCACTTGGCTGAAATATTTCTCAAGCCATGTTTAACCACTTCACAATGATTGGCAAACAATGAAGAGATGCATTCTTCAGCTCAACACAATGGCCACAATAATCAACGCAAACTCCTATTTGAAACGTTATTAATAAATCAGCAGCCTGGGAAGTACTCATGGTTTATGTGTCAAAACTGAAATTTAGCTACACAAATAAATTTGTCATCATTTAGTATGGATTGAAAAACAAAAAACCCCAAAAAAAACCAAGAAACCATTTTGAAATATGAATGACATTGCATCACATCGCAATCACCCAAAGGCCGCCAGTTGCTTAAGCATGCTACTCTGTTTTTTTCCTGAATATAAATCAGAAAAAGCTTCAGTGCTGGCAATTTACAAGAAACCCTGCACTGTATAGTGGTGTCAAGCAAAAAGAACAAATCAAAATGTGTTTGTATTCCATAGCAGCTGCATAGAATTATATACTTTACCAGAATGTGTTGGGGAAGTCACGGAGTGACGCAACATTCTAATTAAATGGAGCTGAGCAGCAATAGGAGATTAGGGATAGCAAAAATATGACTGAAATTGTTCACAGCTGAGCTTTGTAACTACCCTTGCCTCTGAGTTTATTGGGCTGACAGGGTTCTGGATTATTTCGCCAACACTTGGGAGCTGCTGTGCTGTGTTTGGCAAAAGGGGTCCTAGTGGAGATTGACGCAAACGTATCACCTGAACGCTTATTTCAACATCGGCGGCTGTGTTGCCAACTCATCACTTCGCAACATCAGCCCTCGAATGTCAGTCAGGTGTTGTCGTGGGAGCACATATGAGATTTTCAAGCCCAAAAATAGTTGGAGGATCTTGTTTGAACCAAGCCCGCGCAATGTTTTTGCAACTGGTCAAATTCCCCGACACTAGCGAATGTGAGATATTGTGTTTCTGTTGGCCTTCACTTGATTCCACTGAAGCCAAAAGTCGTTAAAATGCTCTCCCTTGACTGATTTTGTTCAAGATTGAGGTCACTATCTTTGAAGAGAGAAGCCTGACTAGATAAAAGTTTTCAAGGTGAGTGTCAAAGATTTAGTATTTTGTTTTGGACCAGAATACCCAGAAATGTGACTTCCAATTTTAACATACTGACAAGTCACCAGAAGTTGTCCACCATTTTATTTTGGCATTTTCTTATTAAAGGTTGTCAGTATATGCAACTTCAATCTGATACGTTACAACAGGGGTGTCAAACTCATTTTTGTCCTGGGCTATATTTTAGTTACCGTTTCCCTTGGAGGGCTTTTATGACTCAAACCATATAAAGAAGTCAAGAATAACGGTTTACTCCACTTTTGTTTAAGTTACTGTCATGACGGGTTTGGTTACAAGAAAATGCTTACAATATCGTTCTTATTTATTACAGATGAGAATTTAAAATTTTGGTACAGATTTTAGCTAGCATCATGAAAGTTGACATGTTTGATTTGCTTTTGCGGGCCACATAAAATGAGATGTCGGGTCGGATCTGGCCTTGGGGCCTTGAGTTAGAAACCTGTGCGTTCCAATATGGTCGTGGATTGGATGAAAGGAACTCAAAACAAATGCAGAAGCAAGTTTAACGTATGATAATTCCGAAAAAATAATGGTGTACTATAGCCTCTGCTTGAAGAAAACTGCAACTAGTAATATCATTATTTTCGAAATCTTGTTTGAGAAGCCTGTTGCCCAATTGCAGACACATACACCCTTTTTTCACTTTTTTTTTTTTTTTTAAATGAAAAACTATCAAATCTTTCCCAGATGGATTTATGAAACAAATCGTCTGGCATAGCAGGTTAAGGTAATCCTCATTCAAAAGGTAATACCTTCAGTGATCAAGAGCGCATAACACAGAACCTACAGCCGTACGAATGCAAGCTTAAGTCTCCTCATTTGCTTGTACTCCTCTCCAACTGCTTTATGATCACGGGCTTAGGTTCCATAAAGCATTAAAGGATCATTCTTCCAAGTTTGTGACAGTCACATGGCTGCTTCTCAGTGGCTTCTCACTTCAGTGAGGACTGGAAATGTGGATGCAAAATTGCCAATGTAGTTCACTGGGAGGACCGCTGTCTGAGAGTGTGAACCCAACCGAGCAGCCGAACACGTGTTGAAATGTCACTTTCGCTCCGTACTTACATATCAGCTATGGTCAAACAATTATCATGGATTCGTGAAAATTGCTCTTTTTTCTTATTTACTGGCAGTATATAAACAAAGAATGCCAGAATTTTTGGTCTCCTTCTGAAATTTGACGTAAGGGCACTTAACCTTTCGTAAGTGTTGAGAACCATGTCTTGATCATTTTTCTTTTTTTCAATATAAACAAATGAAATAGAAAAATTGTGACTATCAGTAGAAAACACTCTCGTCTAAAACAATTATTCGGTATACGCCCAAAATTCTACAACCTCATAAATAACATCTACATCAGGTGCCTGATTTTTTTTTTTAACTGAAAAATTACAGGAAAATGGAAAAAAAAAAGAAACAAAAATAGCTTCTCTCATGCCTTTCATGTGTAGTACATTTTATGGCAAGCCTGTAAACAAAAGAAAAGTCACCAAAACATAACCTTCTTGCGTATTAAATCGAAGTAAAAGACCAGGTACAGTTCATAAGGAGAAATAGAAACAGATTCATCCTTTCATGCTATGAATTTATTTCATGGCATCGTTTATTACACAACAGCTGTTCTTAGACTGTATCCTGCATGTAAGCGAATGTGCTGAGTTAGCACTCAGAAGATTTGTCTCTTACCTCATTTCTCATCCGCTGCCGTCAAGTATAAAACCTGTGTGATGATGTGATTTGATTTATTGTTCTCCTTATGAAAGCTCAAGAGGGCCAAGTGACCTCGCGAGTCAACATGAATTCAATCATTTTACAAAGGTGTGCCAAATATGAGGGGAGTTTGGAAGGCTAAGAAATCTTATTGTGCCCCTTCTTCTGCTTTTTTCTGAGCAATGCTATTCTGTATCACGCCTTACAATCGGTGACAACAACAAAGTCAGATTCTCGACCGCAGATGGCTTTTCAACATCTGCTGATTTGTCTCTCTGGCACCACGTGTTTTGCCTCATGAGTGCATCGTTGGAAATAGTTTCCATCTCTGCCACAGCAGATTCACTCGCCTTCTTTCGGTTAAGACCTGATGTGCGGGACCAAAACCGACTTAGCAAAGACAAAGGCCGTGGCTCCGTTTACACTCTACTGAACACACTGTACACTCTCAGTACAAAGGCTACTATAGGGGTCCGTCTTTTGTTCTCCAAGATACACATTTTTGTGATGTACCGTATAGGGTTCACAGTTGATCCTCTAGTTACAAATAAGTATCGTTTATAGTTTGAAAAAGGGACACAAATGGTCCAAAAGGGCAAAGGGACGATTTCTGTACCTTTTTTGTTTTGCGTGTAGGGGTACAAACATGTACGAGGCCCATGTATATTTATCTTGACTCTTTATGAATGCATGTGCAAAGAAATAAACAGTAAGAGCAGTAATCTCGACCAGGGATGGCAAGCCCACTGCATTTTGTACACTAAAAACCAACTGCCATCGGTTCTTGTCACAAAATGTAATCTGTTGAGTATTTTTGCAGTTTTCGGCCACTCTACGGTTCCCAGGATGCCCTGCGAAATGCAATACTTTTTTCGTCATGAAGTCATTCATCATTGTTTGTTGAATGTGTGTTTATATTAATTGCATTGCCCAAGAATGGCCTTTTAAATAATAGTGTACCAGTGAGCAAACCTCCTGGTGGACAAAGAAGGCCCTCACACTCCAGAGTACAGCTCACAATGATGGGTCCAGGCTCTACATTTAGAAAAGAACCTCAGAGAAGCATGGTAAACACAGTCAATCTTTGTCAGACATTGAGTTGAAGTGTTAATATATAACAGATGCCCATAATCTAAAATGGAAATAAAAATAGCAGTGACAAGTCACTTTTTAACCTCAAAAGAAAAAATATTTCCACAGGGAGGAGGGGTGGGGGGGGATATTTCAATTTGAGTTTCTTTACAAAATTCTCAATATGGAGATTGAAAGAGCATCATCAAGATATTTGCACATATGGACCAACTCACTTTCATTTTCCCCAAGAGTGGACACTGTAGGCCCTACAGTGTAGGGAGTAATTGAGAGCCCTTCCTGGAGTTTGAAACAACAACATTAGTTTTGTTGGCATTAAGGTCTAGTTTTAGCTGCAGAAGTGTGGGCTGCATCGCATCGAAAGCCTTCTGCAGAGATTCTACACAGTGTTAGCAGAGGACGGTAAATGATTGGGTTTTCAACATTAAAGTGCATGCAAGCATCGGACACATTTTGTTCCAAATCATTTATGCACTTAATGAAAAGGAGAGGTCCTAATATAGAACCCTGTGGCACCCCCTTGTGGATGCTCATGATTTCAGAATACCAATTAAATGATATTTGATACATTAGATCCTGTCTCTGACACAATTTGTGAAACTATATGAGCTGAGACCAAAATTGATACACCTACACTTTAAAACTGTGTGGTCCACACACAGTGTCAAACGCCTTCGATCAATAAAAAATTGCAGCACAGTAATGCTTTTTGTCCAGAGCAACAACTATGTTGTTGATCACTTTTGTAGCAGCAGTGATAGCTGATAAGCCTGATTGCAGTTTTGAAAAAAGGTCATGCTGGCGTCAGTGTACTCGGTTTCATCCATTTCACTCTGTGGTATGCTGGTTCTGAAGCTCTTCAAGCTCATGCTAGTACTGGGTTTACTATCACTGTCAGTACAAGTAGTCGGATTCCTGCTCCTGCTTTTAAAAAAATATATTAGAAAGCATATCCCTCATGGCGGCGGATAAGCTACACTTCTTACAAGTATCATTCTCATGAAGAGATTGAGAGTAATTACCAGAGGGAAAGATGAAGAAGCCATGCTAATCGCTAAGCTAACCTAATGTTACGTGTAAGACTGGAAATAAGTGCTTTGGCTGACTGAGTACACTTGACAGAGGTCTCGCCGGAAGTGCGTTAAAGCGGATCATATCCATCTTTGAACAGCAAAATAGCATGCACTTTAATTAATAAGTCTCTGGAGAGAAAATTACATAAAATAATGCTATACAAACACAGCCAAACAGTAAATGTGATTGTTAAGGAGTCCTGTACGTCAGTTAGGATGAGTGGCCTACAAGATTAAATGTGTATGAATATTGAGGATAAGCCGTTCAGAAAATGGCTGGCTGGATATAGTGTATTGAATACATATAATAATATCACTGGTTTGTTTTCACAATGCAGTCCTGAGTTTTGAACTTACAATACAATACAATACAATACAATACATCCTGATTTATATAGCACTTTCACAACAGCTGCAGCTCTAACAAAGCGCTTCACAAATCAGATCTTCTCTCTTGAGATCTGTACAACGTTCTCACAATTACACTCGGCACTAGACTCGACTACATATGTTCACTGCTCGTGGAAAAATAAATAGAACTTACAATGCAATACATCTTTTTTATTAGCCCTTTGACAACAGCTGCAGCCTTAACAAAGCGCTTTACAGAACAGTGAACATAAAATAAAATATCACAGAACACATTAGATAAAACATGGACAGTCATCCAATCGTAACAACTATTCCCGCATACGCCTTGTTGTTTGAAGCAGATATAGATGAAAGAGCAGAGAATCAAAGTCTCCTTCACCACTTGATCAGAGACGTCATGCTTAAAATGTGCACACGTCTGCTACAGGCTATTTTTGCAAGTAAACAAGAAGCCGTAGCGTCCATTGGCGATAAAAGAAAGAAGAAACTTCTCCTGTCAATTTTTCTGTGCAAAACGCTCTCCGTTACAGACTGCAAGTGTCAGTTATGGCTAAAAAGGTCTTCTTAAAATAATCCCAGGTCAACTTAGTATATTATCCATAAAACACACAAGGTTTAAATCGCTCTGATATATTTCATGAAGACCTGCTTGCTCATCAGTAGTTTTGTTTTAAAATAAACTGTGGCTTAGTTTTATCTTTATTTTTTTAACACAAGCAACCGTACCGTGACCTCTGACATCATTATAGAAGACACCAGATGCAAGGATATTTGTGTGGGCCATTAGTCAGAATGTCATCAGTTCATGTAGATTTTGCCATTCATTTTAAATTGAGGCCTGTAAAGACTGAACTCGTTGCGTCAGGTGTAATGCATCGCGAATGTTTCCGAACGCTACTGAAGGTGATTGCCAGTCCCCCCCAAACAGTAGACTCGTTTGATAGTTTATGCAGAAATTCCGAAAGCAGGGCAGTTGCTTGAGCTGCAGCTGAAAGGTGGGCGGTATCATCCCGTCACAGTCATAGAGGCGTCATTGGGGAGATTTTTTTTTTTTACCACACACAGTTGGAAAAACGTTCTTAGCATATATGTCTATGCCCTTTCCTTTATTCACACGATCAGTTTGAAAGAGATTATAATGTTTGACATGAATCTTCAGAATTGATGCTTTGATCCATGTTGCAGAAAATCACTTTCTGTCAATTTGTCCACAGCCGAATTACGTCGATTTTATTAATCAGACTGCGCCGATTGACATGAATAAAACACAATCCACTGCTACCTTTGATATCATCATGCTTCAAGATCAGTGCTGGGCCTGGATTTGGATGGATACAACTTGATAAAAAGAGGAGAAGAACAATCAAATTTTCCGCTCATCCTGTCAGGCGAGCAGTGCCAAATTCTCGGCCGTGCTTGCCGCAGTTGGACCTAAACTCCCGTATTACTTTTGACGAGTTGTTGGAGCCCATCGGAACAGATGGAACAGGACACGACCATGTGGATAGCTGCAAAACAGTCAGTATGCGGGCGCAGGATAGTTCCAGAGGTTTAGAGACTAATCAGAGAAGCACACGGCCCACCACTGGGTCCCGGATAGCCCACAGAACACAAAACCAGCACACATGCGAAAAGTAGGTAAATCCATGGCCTCAAGCTGTTGATGCAGCCAGGCCTACGGTACGTATTTGAGCGGGTTTAGACTGCTGTCGCTGAATGTCCCCAAGACAATAGCACAGTTTTCAGAATTTTGTGATCCAATATTGTGAAGGAGATCGCTAGCCCATCCAAGTCATAAAAATGAAATAAAAAACACAGGCGCATGTATACGCAGGTAGACGCATACCTACGGGGAAGCACCTCTGCCACCATCTTGGATTAATTGAACCAGTGGTGTCATTCCAACTATATGATACAATAATATATTCAAAACGGAACCATTACTCTCAACACGGATTGATCTGATTAAGATTGTGTCTAGACTTGGTCAATCTAAGACCTGCCACTTTAGCCAACAAAAGCAACGGAACTGACCCGTATGACCTGGCCTTGGTGAACCACTTAAGTGGTTCACGAACCAGAGTGATGCATGTCTGGGTGAGAAGGTGGGCAGCAGCAGACATGTGGGTAGGTGATGCCCAGATTTAAATCTGCATCCATATCATCTTCAATTTTCAGTCCTGGACACTTGTCATAATACTAATTTGTTGACCTGCCTCATGTAATAATGCAGTCTGAGCCACTCCTTGTCATCCTAACAGGTCTTTGCCAAGCGAATATGTATTTTTTTCCATGATGTCACCTTGTGTTCATTTGTTGTTAGGATTTGCCTTCTGGGTGAAGCTTCTGCGTCAACTGCGACAACTCCCGCTTCCTCCCCATCCAAAAGGACCTTGCACACCTGTACTCTCCTGCGTCTCAACAATCGATTCTATCAGTCACACGCAGGCCAGTACTCTCGATACTTTGCTCTTGTTTAGCAGTAAACGCCACTCAACAGCCTGGCTCACGAATCTTGTCGTGAAACAGCGTTCCCCAATTTGCACAAGATCTTTTCAATTATCTTTTGTTTGCTTTTGGCTAGAGTTGTGCAATTATGACTCCTATTTGAAGAATGAATCCAAAACCAACATGCAACGTGACTTTTTTTTTTGTTTTTTTTTTTTTTTTGATGACACTGAAAGTCTGTTCTCCATTTCGTTTTGCTCCACATTTTTATGGTTACGTTTTGTAATCTCTCCAAGGGTAACTGACATGCTGATTGTTGACAGACTCAGACATTCCAGTCGCACTGCTATATTTTATAATCCTAATATTTTCTTTTTTTTTTTTGTTTTTATTGCCTTGATTAATAAGTTGTAGCTCCCTGAACACGCAGTGCTTGCGCTCCGTGCATGAAATGCTCAAATTATTTGTATACTGTGCCTTGCAGAGCGTTTGGCGACGGTGTCTAATAAGAGTCATTTGCTTAGTGTGAATTTTTGTCGTCTGAAATGTCAAAAGTGTGTGATGACAGTGCCTGTTTTGTTGTTGCTGTTGTTATTTTTATTATTATCATTATTGGGTTAGGTTAGTCCTTAACCAGACCTAAATTATTATCGTTATTTTGTTTCCCCCCTGCCCCAAACTATCCAACGATGATTTCAATCTCTGCCTTTTTTTTTTTTTTTTGATGATGACAAGCACCAAAAAGCCAAGCATCGAGCTTCCCGCTGAGGTGAATATACATACAGTGCTTGATAAATGTATTAGATCAGGTTTCTGTCACACCTACCCTAAATTAACATTGAGATTCCCGAAAATCTTTTTTCCGTTTTCATAATGCTTCATATATTATAGATGTTCTATTATTATTATTATTATAATTATTACTGTATGTGAAATGATTGTTTAACCAAAGTGGTATTTCCAGTGCTAAAAAAACGACATGTAACATATTATTTTGCATTTAAAACAATTGTGAAAAAAAATCGCAAAGCTCATTTTTATGTATTGCTGAAGATTACAGTTATTGATTTGCATTTCGGAACAGAAAAACATCGTTGAAGGGTCGAATGTCATGCTTGATTGATTTTTGATTTCCTTGAAAAGCCAAGTGAGCTGGCACAAATATTGGTTGAAAAAAAAGGTGCATCCAGTCTGAAATTCCTCATTCGTGTTGAAAATAGTGAAATGCCAAGAGTGCAGGTGGAATTGATTATTCGAACACAGTAGTCTGAATATTTCACTTCATTCATATTTGATAGTTTTCTGTGATGTAAAATGAAAGTCAGGCTATTCTAAGTTTACACTTTATTGCAGGGGTCCCCAACCTTTTTTGCCCCACGGACCGGTTTAAGTCAGACTATATTTTCAGGGACCGGCATTTAAGGTGTGGCGGATTAATACAACAAAATAATATGGTATGAGCTGCATGAAAACTGTGGTGTTTTCGAAATATAATAATAAACACAAGGAGCGTCAAATCTGGTCGCAACACTCTTATCGCTCTGGTAATGTTTAATGCCTTCAAAATACGATACAACGCAAATTCAAAGTGCATGAAAATGACGACTCACCACAGCCCCGAGCTTGATTTTCTGCAACCAGACGGTCCCATGGGGTAATAGGAGACAATGACACCTCAAGTGTGTGGTTTATGTCCAGTCTACTTCGTAATTTTGTTTTAGTCGCTGTTGCTGCAGAAACTCCCCACCTCACACAGGTAGGATGTCGGAAATAGCAACAGTGCTATTGTGGCGATCTCAGAGTGTTCAGCCATAACTTTGATCCAGTTGTTTCGAACGTACTTTTAAGGCCGCCGTCATTTGCCATCTCTAAGCAGCTTTTTTACTCATTTTGCGGGCTTCAGCGTTTTGTTTTTGAGCGTCATCGGTCACGTGACCGAGAAGTGTGGCTTGACGTGAGTCAAGCGTGACACAGATGGATGTAACAGAGAATCCGGTAATTTTTCAAAATAAAACATCTTTCGTATTCCGAAATAAATAAAACGGAAATAAGGCAAGTTCTTTCTGTGTGGCCCGGTACCAAATGCCCTGCGGACGGGTACCGGTCCGCGGACCGGTGGTTGGGGACCCCTGCTTTATTGTACCTCATTTAGCTCAGTTTTAGTGAGAAACGAACCCGTGTTTTTTCTTATTAGGGAAGTCCGGAATTTCCCCACACTATAGAGGCTATATTGTCACGGATAAAACGTGCACTGTTTATGATCCTTGCCTTCTATTTCTGTTGATGGAATATGTCTCGCATAACTGTGAGAGATGTGACAAGACTCAAAAGCTTCTGGTGCTTTTGGAGGATTGACCGATTTAAAGTGACAACTTGCTACGGTTTATTCAAGACACACTATCCCAAAAATAAGCACACACGACTGGATGCTTCTTCATTCAGAACGGGATGGTTCAGATTAGGGGCCATTTTTGAGGTTGCTTTCTCCTATGAACTGCAGAGGAACATCCAAAGCTGTTTGAACCTCAAACATTCTGCGTCACTGTCCCGACTTGTGACTTTTGAATCTTGATGTCCTAAAATTGACTTCAATGATGTGCACTGGTGAAAACGCTTCAATCTCATAACATAAGCACAAGCGTGTTAACGGGATGTCCCTCTAAAGAATGCCATTTTATTATACAGTATTCAATTTGCCTTACACAAGACGTCCGGACACCGATTGCATGGCAGGTCATTTTCTCATGCATGTCTTGTTGATGCTAAATTAATGTGATGTTAAATTATTAATTGTGACAATTGATTTGGATAACTTTCCCTTTTTTTGTTTTTGTCACTTGCCTTCTCAAACCCGACTAGTTCATAATACTCACAGAGTCACGACAAAGCCACAACTGCTGTAGTCTTGAGACCTCATCTGTTTAAATTTATGTCACCTTGCTAAGTGTTGTGGGTTTCCAAATTTTTGCCGTGTTTAAATGCTGTGTTTACATGTTGTTATTACTGGCGCAGGTTATTTAAAGTCATTGCTGTGACCTTTCCTATGCATTGGTATTTCAGTACTTGTTTCCGAAACTTTGTGGTTAATGTGGTTGTAAGGTTTGGAAAAAATATCTTTTCCCTCCTTTTTTTTTTTTTTAAATGATTGAATAAATGTAATAAAAACACATATGCCCACGCTTCATTTATTGCAGCAAGTGTACACCCCCGGTAACGAGTCCTAGCAAAAACCTTAGTTGTGATCAAGCTACGGTTTGGTACATACTTCAAAAACATGAATTAGTCCAACAGAATGCAAAGGCCTGGAATACCATGACAACTGAAGTTGACTACAAGGACTGTGCTTCATCCTGCAGCTTGATAATGACCCATAAGATGTTGTGAAAGAGTTATTCTTCCAATGTATTGTATTGTTAGGCTTCCAAAGCAAACAAAGGACAAGTGATGATGACTGTCAAGTTGTCTAAAGGATCGTGAAAATGGAGCTACACTGCATTGTCACAGATTGTGACAAAAAAAAAAAAAAAAAAAAGTCTTTTCTGACACGTATTCAGAGTGCTCACTTATAAACCTGACAGGGGCATTGTTCAACATACTGCAAATGTTGACATCTTCTTTCTTACAGTACAGCAGCGCTTCTCAAATAGAGGGGCGCGCCCCCCTGGGTAAGGGGGGGGGGGCGAGGCCCTGTCAAGGAAGGCGCGTTTGACCTCGGGGAACATGTTTTTTTATTTCGATTTTTTTTAACTGAGAATAAAGTGCAGTTGCACCTCTACTACATTAGGGGGCAGTGGCGTTCTCATTGGCAGAGTGTGCGCAGGGAGCATTCAGAGGGATGAAACATGACGAAGCGTATGTAGCGCTTGGCCTCGCTGTGACTACGGTGGGAGACGAGCAAACACCGGTGACCTTACTCTGTCTAAAAATGTTGGCAGCGGACAGCAGGAAGCCAAATAAATGAAGACATCACTTGAAGACATTACACCCCAATCACGCTGATAAGCCACTTGACTTTTTTCAGCGAAAACGTGTCGAATATTGCCAACAATCATCCCGCTTTGTGACTACTACTTCAGTGAACTAAAATACAGGTCCCGGCTACACATTGAGCAGGAGCTGAGAGTTGCTGTGCCCTGCTTCAAACCTCGCTTCGAAAAGCTGTGCATTGCAAAACGTGCTCATTGTAGCCATTAATCCAGACATCATCTTTGATTAAAAAAATCAGCACAAATTATTTTATGTTTGTTTTGCAGGTAAAAGTTTTTTTTTTAATATTGTGCTCCTGAGTTAATGTTGGTGATCAGTTTGAATGCATTATTATTTATTGATTGTATGTCATTTTATTTTTCAATATCGTATGATTTGACACGGTCAGTCAAAAAATGTTTACAGTTTAATTAAGGATTTCATTTTTTTTTTTTAATTTCAGATGCACTTTAAATATTTTCTCTTACAGTTAATAAAGCTATTCTTTGTTGTAAGTTGGTCCATATTTCTTTCTTTTTTTATTCTCTTATACGTTAATAAGGATACAGTGTTATGCAGAGGTGTACTTATAACAATTTTAGAGACAAATTATACTATTTATAGTCGCGCGGAATGGGGGGGGTTGTTTTCTTCTTCCTGGGGGGCACGACAGAATATAATTGAGAAGCACTGCAGTACAGTAATGCGCCACAGAAAAGAAAGCATGTTTTTCAGATACTCTTAAAACAACTGTTCATGCCCACAAACAAAACAAAACGATTTTTCAACCCGACGCCACCGCAGCTAAAAACATATTCTGAATTATACATACCATCACAATTGTTGCCACACTCAACGGAAATCTTTAAAACTGAACCGAAAACTATCAGCGAGAGCAACCCTAATTTTCACCACATGGAAGTTTGACATCAGAAAAAATAAATAAAATAGCTGGCGGCAACTGGACCAATTTTGTGCCAAGTATTTACAGTACAGCACATGGTCACAACCCTCAGTGGCTGCAGTGAAACAGATGTGAGAGAAACTTGTGCAAACTTATCTTACTGGATGGCGGCGTCATGTCTGACTGCAAACACACGCACTGAAATATATGAGATGTTAGCTTTGTCATGTCATTGTTTTCCAACTAAGCAGAGCAAGAAGATAGTCCAGTGGTGCAGATGTTACTTTGCAACTCTAAATTATTATCCATTGAAGTGTGTATTCTGCCTGTGTTTGGACATGCTGTATAAATTTCCCATGCCAGCATGGGAACGCACAGACCCTGCTTCTTCTCCTCATGCATGCAAGTTAACCTTTTCACCCCGAGAAGCATCTCCAACTTCAAAGTGACATTCGTAGGGACGACTGGACGTGAAAGCATGACAAAGTTATCGGGCGGCCCAGAACTAATGTGTACAGTATCTAACATATATCTTTCTGATCAGACTGGTCAATTTGTTCTCCATTCCTCTATTGATGTGGGGATTGTTGTCAAGCTTTACTCAAACTTTGATTCCTGGTTATAGTTTGATAATGCTTTGCATGAGATAGGATTGGTTGTTCCACTTTTGACAAGAGATTTTGACAGAAGATTTTGTGATCACAATATTAATTGTGATCAAGAGAGGGATTGTTGAGGAATTTAGCCTTACTAGGAGTACTGTTGGTACCAGTCTCTCACCTGAACGTTTGTTTAAACTCTTAAAACAAAGGATGTAGTGTTAAGTTTATATCTTCTTCCCCCTTGAGTGTTTAACAGCCTCCAAGTGTCTTCTTTTGCACACCCCCATCTCGGGAAAGTCCCTGAAGGCTGTCAAGTTCCCCTGACAAGGAACTCTTATCTCGGGATTTATGCACAGCAGGGGAAGTCTGGACTTTGTCATCATGCCAAGATCGTATTACATCGACCTTTCTTTGTTTCCGATTTTTACAAAAGGGGTAGGACTGCCCGCCCCTCATTAACATATTATCTCTATATAAACGTGAGTCTGTATTTTTTCTGGGCTTACTGACGAAATCTGAAACTCTCAGGAGCCCGAATCGATCCGGAAACTGCAAAAAAAGAAAAAGAAAACCTTCGAAGGTAATGTTCATTGTCTCCAGCCTGTATTTGGATAACCAACGTCCTCACCCTATGAAATTCAATGAACACGCGGAGGAAAGAAGGCCACTTTCCCCCAACACCATCCACCCATCCATTTTCTGAACCGCTTTATCCTCACGAGGGTTGATGGGCATGCTGGAGTTTAACTGCTCCGAATTTTTCCAAGTCTGTCCCTTCATCCATTTTGTGCACTGCAAATCTTCATTTGGGTCATGCGCGGGTGTGCTGATTTTTTCATTCTCCAACTTTGGCCGAGACGTGACCTATTGGCTTAATGATGGGTGGCGGTCACGGAGCTTGTAGGGTACCTGGACGGTGTCCGTCTGCAACACGGAGCCCCATGTCTGGCTGGTAAGACGCAGATCTCGTTCTGCTCGCCCTGTCTGTTTGTAGGTCAAACTGCAGTGTTGTTAGCCACGGGGGCTAGTGGGAGCGAATCTCCATGGCTGCCTGCCTTCCTTCACAGAGTATTAACAAAATGTAGCATCGCTAACTATCCGAAAAACATCGACCAGTCACCATGGAAATTCATCTGCACCATACCTGTCAACCTTTCGGAGCGCCAACCCATATAAACTACCAAAAAAATTCTTATAAAGAGCAAAAAATCCTTATAACATACCAAAGCATTTTATATGTCAAAATAACGGCAGAAAAACCCCACGAAATATGAATGATATATTTGTTTCCTTGTAGAACTTGCTTGTACACTACCGAAGTATGCAATGAATACTCCGCTGTTTTCAACTAGGAACCACGTGATTTACTGGAACGTTACCGGAAATGAAAGCATTCGAGTAGACGAGCACCATTCTGGGTAAAAGCAAACGGAACTACCTGTTAGGGAAAAAAAAAAAAAAACGGAAATTTTCAGAATCTGTATGATTTGTGCGATATGGCCATATACGTAAGATTCACCACAAAATCCGTATAAAATATGGCTAAACCGTATGAGTTGACAGGTATGTATGCACATTCCTATTGTTGTCCACTTCAAAATGTAAAATAATCATAAATACTAATTTAAAAAAATGTCAGCACAATATTTTTTGTGGTGGTGTTAAAGGGGTTGTTTTTGCTCAGAGGAACTCATATTTGATGTCAGTAATTCGAAAATATTGTGCGGATTGCTTTTGTTTTCACAGGTTGAGGTGGACAAGTATGAATGTGCATGTGAATTTTGGTGGTGATTGGTTCCTGTGACAACACTAGGTGACAACATCCATCCACCCACCCACCTATTTTCTAATCCGCTGATCCTCACAAGGGTCGCTGAACTGGTTGCCAGCCAATCGCAGGGCACACATAGACGAACAATCATTTGCTATCACATTCACACCAAGGGACAATTTAGCATTCAATTAACCTCCAGTGCATGTTCTTGGAATGTGGGAGGAAACCCAGAGAAAACCCACGCAAGTACAGGGAGAACATGCAAACTCCACACAGGAAGGCCGAATCCGGAATCGAACACTTTCACCTCTGCACTGTGAGGTCGGTGTGCTAACCAGTCGACTGTAGGTGACAACAGAACATGACAAACCAACCCAGGAGGAAATAATATTACAATGCTTGCCACTGGCTCCCCCTTTAATGGGGGGAGCTCAGTGGCTTTAGTTTAAAAAAATAAATAAATAGTACATAACTCACTACAGATTCTTTTTGTGGGGTTAATATAAGTGCTAACGTCATGCTTACAGACATACCTATTACATACATGTCAATCAATGTTCAGCCCATCAAAGTATCCCTTTATGTGCACTCCACCGTAGTCTCCAAAAGAATGTAATATTCGTACGTGGCCACGAGAGGTCAGTCTTGCATCATTTTATGACTTGCAGTTATTTGTCTCATTTCTCGGACTGATGCTCTCGAGCGGCAGACAATTTTAAAGAATAGAGTGGACGTTGCCAAATTGAACCGCAGAACTTGGTAAGTGCACACACAGTGGTCATTCTTGTCATTGAAAATTCAATATTTACCCCAATATGTCCTTTGGAAGGGAAAATATCAATGAAAAGCAACAATCATTTTTTGTTTGCTTCGTATCTTTATTAGATTTTTAACAAATAACGCAAATGTCTGATGCTTTGTTCAAGTATACTGTTCGTATACATAATGTAGCTTGTAAAACACAGACTGTACCCTCAGAAAACAGAGGGCCAGTTTGATAGCACCACGAACATAAAAAGTACAATCACATGGGATTCACACACACGATTGTACAAACCACATTTTTTTTTAAAACAAGCACTAAAGCGAAACCTGATTAAATAGACAGCGAGTTACGGAAAAAGAAACTACACCCATCCACAGTTCTGAGTCTTTAAATAGGGAGAGATTTGAGTCAGGGTATCATTCAGCACACTTAAGAGTCCACACGGATGTTCTACTCCAGCTCTGGAACATCTTTACACTGTCAAGCACGGTTTGAATACAAATTCAAATCAAATCAAATAACCACACCTGCTTCTCGCTGCTTTCGGCAACAGGCAGTCATCATCTATTGTGGATGAAGGTCTTTTCACATGTGACTGAAATTTTTCTCGACCATTTGAGTTTAGTCTGTAGTGTGCCACTTTCAAAGCGTGAGCACTCAGATAACCAACGCCCCCTCTTCTTCTCGCTCGCTTTCTGAAATTGACAAAGGTCTTGGGACAACGGACAATTCTATGATTCTCATGAGTGCAGTGTTTGAAAAGGGCCTTTTTTTTTTTGTAAGCATGCCCAGTCCACAAAGCAAGGTCCATCAAGGTACTGTATATCATTAGGTAGGTGTAGCGTGGAGGAATTTCAAAAGCTCTGCCATCGACTCCATCAAACACCGTTGGGATGAGCTCAAACCAATCTTGGGCGACGCCTTCTCATCCAGCAGCAGTGCCCCCTGAAAGTGTCTTCTGGGCGAATGGATGGGAATGAACCCCGATATACTGCAATGCGGACTCCGCGCTTTCCTCTATTATTAGCTCCTGTTGCGTGTGAAAGGCCTGTTGTCCCGATACGTTTCTCTTCGTTGTGTCTGTTGGCGGACCACCCAAAGAGGTTTGGAAGATGGAACGAAGGTGATAGAAAAGAAACGAAAACCAAGGCAAATAAGGAATTGATTTGCGATGACGACTGATCCTTCTCGCTTGGGCGCAGGCGTAACCGCAGTCGCCTCACTGTATGGAAAATGTCAATATGGGAAACATGTGGAAGGAAGCACAACAGGCCCGAAAGCCCAAAAAAAAAAAAAGCCCTTGCAGTCACCGAGTCTCGACATGAAACGACACAAGCTTTCAAACAAGAACCCAGCAGGAGGTTGTTTTTCTCCAGCGCTGCACATTCACAAAGAGGTTCCTCATGGCACTTTGAATCAAATTCCATTCCAGCAGCAGCTCTCTTGCAGGCAGGACGCTAACAATGGAGCTGCAGCTGATCTTCTTTTTTCTTTTTTTTTCTTTTCGGGGAGGAGGTATGCACCCCAGACGGAGACGTGTAGTGGCTGTGGGCTTCAGAGGTTCTCCCTGTTGGAGGGTGACTTGGCTCGTGGCTTTTTACCTGTGGGTGACCTGATTGTTGAGGAGGCCCGGGAACGTCTGCTCCGTCTCAGTGCTTAATGAGCCACCTTGCAAAAAAAAAAGCACAGACACACCATCAACTCATTTTTTTCTCCCTTATTTTGCATCCCATCCCAATATTCGAGATCAATCTTTGAGGAATTTCACATAATTGATGAGCAATATAGTGAGCACCATGCATTTTATTGGTTCATCTTAACATTAGCATACATATAAATATTACCGCTGCAAAAACTATTTCCCTCAACTTCGTCATTTTTGATGCTAATATGGATTCGACAGGAAATCCAGATGTACAATATCGTTTTGATTTTTTTCAGTATCATTGATAGCCAAAATCAAGTACAGTCATACCTCGGTTTTCGACCATAATCCGTTCCAGAAGGCTGCTCGAAAACCGATTTGTTCGAAAACCGAAACCGCGCTCTTTAAAAAAAAAACTTTATTGAACACATCTGCTCACAATGGAACGCTTGAGACGCTTTCCTCGTCTACCCGAGGAAGCGTCACTTCCTCTTGTAAGGAAGGCGAGAGGAGTCAAGCGGCGCATTCAAGTGCGCTCAGTTTGGTCGAGAACCGATTTTCGGTCGTAATCCGAGTCGTAAAAAACTCGAACTTTTTAGTCGAAAACCGATTTGGTCGAGAACAGAGACGTTCGAAAACCGAGGTTTGACTGTAGTTAATATGAGGGAAGTGATCTTCAACTTTGCCCTTCCTTTCTCAGCCACGACTTCAAATTGAATGCACACATCATGTTGGATGTGGGAATCTTTTTTTCCAAGGGGTTGGATTGGGTGCTGATCCAAATGACGGTAGTTTAGCCTTGGGACAACACGAGTATGCCATTTATAAATCGATTCGTTCGAATGAATTATAATGCATCCATTCCTCCATGTTCGATGCTGCCATTGCTGTTCAGGGTCACGGCAAGCTGGAGCCTGTCCCAGCTGACAAAAAGCAGACCGCACCCTGGACATTTTCCATCACAGGGCACATTTAGAGACGGACAACAATTCAAGATGCACATGTACACAGGCACCGAGTAGGAAGTGAACCCACACGAGTCAGGTGAGCTCATCACCTCTGTAAACCATTTCGATCCGCTTATCCTCACAAGGGTCACGGGGGGTGCTGGAGCCTATCCCAGCTGTCTACGGGCAGAAGGTGGGGGACACCCTCAACCGGTTGCCAGCCAACCGCAGGGCACACAGAGACGAACAACCATCTGCGCTCACACTCACACCAAGGGACAATTTGGAGTGTTCTGTTAACTTGTCATTCATGTTTTCGGAAAGTGGGAGGAAACCGGAGTGCCTGGAGAAAACCCACGCAGGCACGGGGAGAACATGCAAACTCCACACAGGGAGGCCGGAGCTGGAATTGAACCCGGTACCTCTGCACTGTGAGGTCAACGCGCTAACCATCGGGCTGCCCCTCTGTAAACCCTCAATGAGAACTCTTATTTACACTGAGCGGAATCTTTTTGTTCAACACACACACAAAGACGCAAGGATGATGGGCCACACAAACCGTGACTGCCAGCCGAGGTTGGCCGGGTTCAGTGTTCAGCCTTGAGGGACGACCTCCTGCCCTCCCCTCTTCCTTTCATTGCTCGAATTGTGTGTCACTTGAATTTTTTTTCTTTTTTTTACAGGGTTGTTTACCTCCCTACTGCTTCAAGGCTCCACAGGATAATTTGAAATGCTTTTGTGAAGGAGTAAGAACTTTTCTATTCCAGGGATAATCGGTTTACTTTATCCTGAAACTTGGGTGAAGGTCTGTGCAAGAGTGCGAGGCCTGCGAGAATAGATTATAGTTTGTATCGTGGTAGTAAAACTGCGTTCAGTTTGCACCCTTCTAGTAGAAAAGCTCTATTTTTTTTCCAGTTAGTTTCGCATATTTCTTCTAATTTAGTACAATATGTAATACTAATGGACACATCATGTACCTGAAAATGACATACACTCACACGGCATCTGGTAGACTTGACTGGAAGTCTACCAATGAGTACGCTCGCCACAAACTACTGCAACAATAAATAACATACGACATGAAAGCACTACTTCAACATCAAAGTGTGGCGGAGGAGGCACTAAATTTGTCTTCCTGGCATCATTCAAAAACTACCCGGCACAAAGTGACAAATCTTTCTTGGAGTGAAAAAATAAGAGTTTGGGAAGTATCTCTTTGTTTCATGCCTTTATTAAGATGTGGATTCAAAAAGAATCCTCCAAGACTTCTGAATATTACAATATGAGAACAGACAATGTTTTAATATCTTCCAGGACTTACCATTGTGACAGCTGTACATCCACACGCGATGACCATCATATCGACATCGACATTTCATGACGTTATTGGTGTAATCAGACTCTGGCACTTCGTAGTTTGGATTGATTATTATCTATAAAAAGGATGTGTGAAGGATTTTTTTCTTTTTAATCGTACAATGATATAAGAAGAGACAAATGTGGGCAGGAAACTTACCTGGAAAATGTAATCTCCAGGCTTTAGGTCAGTGATGTCAATCCACTGGCAATCGATGTCATGTCGGTATGTGTCCCAGCAGCCCACAGTGATGCCCTGCTCTCCAAAATTGTCACATTCGTATCTCTTTTCAATGCCTGCAAGAAGACAAGAAAAAAAAATGCCACTAAAGTCACGCCAAACTTCAGCACTCGTCACACAAGACCTCGGTTAAGCGAGGATTTTTAAACTTTGTGTGCATATTGGGCATTTTCTTTGGCTTTTGTTTTTTTTTTTGCTTCTTTTGAGACACCAAATCTAAAAAAGAAATCGCCTTGAGTAACCGTAATATGTTTCCAAAGAGGACACTCAAGAAACAGAAGTTATGTGCAATTAGCATGCATACATTCTTAATAATTGTGTTGCTTGTATGTTAAACACTCTTGGTTTACTTGACATTTTTAAATGGCTTTTTTTCTTCAACGTCAAAAAGCGTAAAAAGAAATTGCAGCGGTAATATACTTTTGGCCACTTGGGGGCAGCACCTCCATCTAGCCATTCATCCATGCATTTCCTATCCTACTTGGCTTCATTAGGCTAATGAGCTGTAGACTATCCCAGTTGCTTTTGGGGGAAGCGGTACACCCCGGACCAGTCGTCAGCTTATCTCACCTCCCACAGAAGTACCATTCGCACTCACATTCAAAAGTATGGTCATTTTAGAATTTTCAACGAAATGCGAGTTTACAGACATCCCTCACATCAACTCATCAGTATATTTTGTTATGTCACAACATTTAATACATCGTCATCCATTCCTGTGTATTTGTGACTGTGCGGCATTAATATCTTTAGAAAAAAAATCACCACAAAAGTATAAATTTGAATTTAGAGTCCTATTGAGATAATATTCCTACCTTCATCACACTCTGAGTCCTCCAGACAAAAACTGGCTTTGTGTCCTTCTGCTACTTTGGTTCCATTCAGACTGAACAGGTCGTAGGTAGTAAACACCTCCATGCTGTGATAATGCCTACCGACACATAAAGAGTTTGAACAACAAAGCTCCAACGCAGCACTGTGAATAGAAAAATATCCTGCATCAAAGCAAAAGTTGTCAACAAAAGTCGCAAACCCTGGAAGGGAAAAAAATAACCAAAACACAATTGGTTTGTATTTTTAAGAAGCTCCTGCTTCCAATTTAAGGTGAATCCAGGGGCGCAAGAAGGTGCACTTCTCACCACACAAATCAAAAAAGGATGTTGGAATGAGGTTATATGTGTTTTTCCAGCAATCAACCAAAAAAAAAAAAAATTCGCTTGGAGGTTTACATGGCAGAGACAATTCAAACGGAACGTGCCTCATCGAGCAAACAGAGACGTCTATAATTAGGAACTGACCTATGGCAGTCGTGCCACACCCAAGACTGTCGGTCAGCTTTAGGCCGGAAGTCGGACTGGCCGTTGTTGTGGATCTGGGAGGAGAAGCGCAGCAGCCGGCGGTAGGAGTTGGCAGGCAGTTCTTTGGAGGAGGTGGACAGGCATTCCTCCTCAAAAGCACATTGCAGCATGAACATGGGCCTGTCCTCCATGTAGGTGGTCTGCTCCACCGCCTGAGGGTTCAGCACCAGGTCAGGGGCCGCTGGTGGGACAAGAATGAAGGCTGAAGCAAACGGATGTGCACGGACCGAGTTATACAATTGCGCGTGATGGGATACACGTGCCGTAGCGAGCGTCAGACGGACCCAGTTGGAGTGCACTGTTGCCAAAATCTCAAGTGGAGCCAAATGGTACGGTACATCATCAGCAAGGTTGGCGTCACACGCTTTGTAAAGCACATTCATTCCAGGTATGGAAGCGCCTCATTGTGCGGTCTTGTCATTTAATTTGAAGTCAAACGGACATGTGTGGCATTGTCTGTGCAGCTAGTGCGGCGTGTCATATGAGTCATTTTTCAGTTGGATCGAACTGCACCCGTCAAGCAAGACCCGAAATTTCCCGAAACACACTCCTGTTGGTAGACGGGAAGTGCTTACCTTATCAAATGTTAGATGCGTGTCAGTTTGGTTCATTATAAGGACTTGCTATTCGCAGGGGGATAGTGACTCAGCATCACCGACTTAGGCATAGACTAACAATGCTGCATACTCGCCGCTCGCCGTCGAAATAAGTGAAGTCACCAGCGGCCATCTTATAAGTCCGCCGAACTTAAACACATAAGATTTCTACACGTCGTTTTACATTTTTTGTCTCTATGGCAAAAATACCACTGTCTATGGCCTACCGTTGTCTGGGAGAAAAAAAGTCCCTGCAAAATGTCAGCCGAACCTTTGTCAGCCACAATTCATGATAGTGAGATGATATACTCGACACAAACGGAGATGTTGATTCTTTGAGAGGCTCTCATGACTCCACAGTGGAATCCCAGCGTAAAACAGACACTGACAATGTTTTTAGTGAAAAAAATAACAGAAGGTGTCAGTAGCAGTGGCAATGTAAGATGGCTGCCCTCTGGCTTCAACTGCGAGGGGCCTATTTTTACTCCATTCATATATAAATCGGTGGAATACATCTTGCCGCGAGTATATGACAAAATTCACCAACAAAGCCTCGACAGTTCTCAGTTCCCCAATGCTTACTGAGTGTTGTTAAAAGAAAGAGTAATAAAACACAGTGGTAAACATACCCCTGTCCTGGCTTTTCTTTTTTTTTTTTTTTAATGTAAAGAGGTGAGTTTTTCACCAAATAACAGAGGATGGGTTAAAAAAAGAATGAAAATAGGTGAAAATTTGAATTGTCAATTTTAAATAAAATATTAAAAAAGAATAATAAAATGAAAGAATAAGGTGTCTTACTCTCAGAGCACGAGACTCCTGCGGCATTGCGGCCACCTCCTTTGGAGCAGCTGAGGTGGGCTCCATGGTGCAGGCAGTGAGACAGAGACATCTCAGTACCAGAGCAGCGAACTCCACTCATCGCCACACTGTCTGCACTCACCTCGCCTTGCCAGTGCCATGTTTCCTGTTGAGAAAACAGACAAGATGGTTAAAAAAAAAAACAAAAAAAAACAAAACAAAACCATACCATCATTTTGTTGCACGGCAGTGACATTTGAACTAAATTTTGCATTGTGTTTCTCACACACCGTATAATCAATTAAATGGGAAGTGCTTGGAATTATTTTCATGATTATACACCAATACTACTTATATCTCATTCCTAAACTAATAAAATAATCAATTTGTTTTTTACCATACTGAGCACAGTTTAGGTGGTGAAAATATTGACATGGTTAACAATGATAATAATGTGTGTTCAACTTGAAATTAGATTAACCAAAATAACGAGAAATGATCGAATCACTGACAAAAAATATCAAAAAATTGGCAGTCACGACGCTGAAGCATGTATGCCAAATCTGCCTCATAGTCAAAAACTTCAAATCATTGCATGAAGCTTTCTTGACAACATTTGCCTGCCCCCCCATCCCCAAAATATTAACGTTCGTTTCATTGCAAACTATAAATCATCAGAATGCATAAATGTGAGTGTGAACGTCTGTTTGACTCTATGTGCCCTGTGACTGACCACAGCAACCAATCTGGCGTGTACACTGGCTCCCTTCCACAGTCAGTCGGGATAAGACTGAGTTCACCCGTGACCCTGAAGAGAACAAGCAGCAGAAAATGTTTGCCCACTTCGGTGCAATTTCCAACTGTGACCACTGGAGTGCACTCTGGTACTTCTTCAGTTTAACCAGAAGCCAGATGAGTAATCACGACATTATACTGTCGTTAATCTTCATGAAATTTGACTAATTGCAGATGCTTATTAAATGACAGTCGAATATTAGGACAGTAAACCAAAAGCCCATCACTGACAGAACCCCTATGTGTGTGTGTGTGTGTGTGTGTGTGTGTATACTGCATATAAGGAAATAATTCCTATTCCCTGACAAATTGACAAACTGCTACACTTTAACTGACATAATGGAATTTGCATGAAATTAGTGATGAGTGGCCCAAATTATACATACATAGTTGTAGCTTTTGATTTTCTTTTTTCTCCAACTCAAATTTGTACTTGAAACGCTGAAATTATGTCAAGAATCCAAATGAATCTTTTGTGATTTATTTTAGTTGAAGTCGTTTTCCATCTTTGACGCTGTGCAACGACTTCCTCCGCTCCATCTCGTTCCTTCGCGCATACCTGGAAAGAATTGCTGGCAAAGCCCAAGCCCAGCTGTCTGCAGACAACCATGGCCTCCATGGTTCCCCAGCCCTCACTGCACACCGTCCCCCACACCAGAGAGCCGTTCTTCTCCACCAGCACTTCCACACGGCCCTCGAAGGGGTTTCGACCTCCACTCAAACGCAGCTACAGATATGGACGACAGGAAAGGCACATGGTTTCGGGCTCATATTCATGAATCAGGTCTTTGATATTTGAGTACAATAAATACGACACGCAGAAAGACTGCTCAATGCAATACGTTGCACAGACCTAGAAGTGGATTTTGAAGGACTCCAGTTGAGGTCTTGAAGGGATGTAATTGTATACAGTATAAAGGAGGTGTCGCCAATCTTTGGAAAGTGGGAGTTACTTTATGGCTACTGATGAATTTGAAGGGCTACCTGATTGATACACAAAAATGTATGCTATGTGAAGAAACTGATTATGTTAACCTTTTTTCACTATCATTTTTTTAAAAATGCTTTTACAAGGTGCAGATGAATATCGACATGTACAGTACCTGATCACATTCCTTGGAAAACACAATGTGCCATCACTAGTGAGCTATTTCTCGAACAGGCTAGCGCTGCACCTCATTGGTTATAATAGGTGTTTATTTAAAAAAAACAAAAAAAAAACAGGTTATTAAAAATTTCACTGGGAGTGTGTACCAATTTTTAATTTGACATCTAAAAGCGTGTACCAAATTGACCAACTCAGAATGAATCTTTTAGTGACATGGCAGTGACCCAGTAAACGTCAAGACGATCAACCAGCATGTATACAAAGAGATCCTGTGGCGGTTGACAAGAACAAACTCAACAGAAAGCACTGGTGTCCACTTTTCGAAAATGTTCCAATTTTAGAACCATTTCCAAAGTGTTTAAGCTCTAAAACACAAATGTTGTATCCAACTTATTCCTGAGGGCTGTGATGTCAAAACAATTATGGGCGCGACTTCCTGGAAATCACCGGAAGTAACAATTTGTTCCCTTGACTTTACTTTATTTGTACATTTTTATTTTTGTTTCCTTTTCTAAACTATTGTAAGCCCCCACAGCACTAAAAAATGTCTGGACACAGCATGGGAACCCGTTGGCGGTTGTGCGAACAGCCAGAAGAAGTTGACACGATGGCTAGAAAAGCAATGTTTTGAACAATGAGGAGAGAACGCTGATAATCGGTACAGTGCCCAGCACCTGCCCGGCTGGGGATGAGGAACATAGAAGGATTCGTCTGAAAATCTTCATTTGAAACTTTCACTTGAACAGGCCAGCCACCGACACTCCTTTTCGTTTTGCGGATAAAAAGCCCACGTAGCAACACGTGCATCAAAATTTGTGCTTGCGTGACAATCAGAGTTCAGAAAGCAGCTAGGCCAGTTTTTGATGTCATCCTCCAACCGCGCTGCAAAGTGTCACACGGGATTGAAATGTTTTCTCTTTTAATCTGCGAAAGCCAGCGTTGCCCACATTGTTTTAAAACCGTGACTGCCATAGAAAGACGCCTTGCGCAAACGGTTACCATCAACAAACAGGTTCATACTGGAAGTCATGCCTATAATTCATGCAAAGGCTCTTGGGGCTCGAGATGAGGATATTCTTTTAAAATCCATTTGAGAACAAGCCGATGGAAGACAACAAATAAATCTCACCCTCTCCTGGAAGCCCATAGCGGGGACATTACATCTGACAGCTGCATCCTCCTCATGGCTGCAGCCCAGAGACTCCTTGTCGAAGGGACACTCTGTGATGGACTTCTCAAATCCCGAACACTGCACTTCATTCATATGGACTGGGCCCATACCTTGCAAAAAAAAAAAAAAAAAAAGTGTTTTGAAAATGACATTTCACTAAAAACACGTGTAGCCATTGGCCGTGTAGACAAAAAGGAAACTCGGTTGAAAATTGTAACCAGTGGTATGCTGGGGGAAAAAACGTTTGAGCAGTCTTATGTGGAAGTCATAATAATATACAATACACACAAGAAACGATTCGCGCACGTGGAGGCTTATCCATAATCTTCAAGGGGTACTTGACTTATTTAGTCATTTTCAGCAGTAAAACATTAATATTTTGGCTATAATAATATAATGTGCTAACTTCATTATTTTTCATGTACAATTAATACCTTGAGAAACGCACAATTGCCACTAGCGGTCGACTGAAAATGACATCACAGTTTGCTCAGAGCTCAGGTAACGACAGCTCACCTGTTTTCTGGGTTTCGTCATGTGACATTCGTAAGCTGAGCTGTGATTGGTTGTTACATGAGCCCTGATATATGTGGTGTCATTTTCAGTAGACAGCAAGTGACAACAATTTTAATTGTACGTGAAAAATAATGTAAGGTACGTTTTACTGCTATATATGACAAAATAAGTCAAGTATCCCTTTAAATGTAAGTCTTTCCCTAACGCAGGAGGCATTTTCCACCACTGTAGCCTCAATGTAGCATCTTTGGGTCGAATACAAGTGGCATTATGTGCATACTGTCTTTGTGAACTCGACAATAGTGCCTTTAAGAGTCATTTATTCATTCTTCGAACCGCTTTCTATGATGGAGCTTGTACCTCAAATCATCTTTTCCCATTGAAATGATTGAAAAAGCCATTAATCTGTTCCACCCCAAAACAAAAATGTTTGAAATGTGTTTTTTGTAAGGAAAAGAAAAACACTACAACATTGCACTTCATAAAATATACAGTAAAGTACTGAGTGTAAAGATTTAAAACACATTTTGCCACATTGTTTACTTCGAATCAAAAGATATTAGGCTGCTCTTTCTGCTGTGTGCTTTGGCCAATTGAAGGAAGTATAATACAGAAAAAGAAACACATACGAAGCAGAGCTTCACTACGGACTCAGTAAGGTCCATCAATATTAGTCAGTTTTTATCTGCAAAGGATAAAGAACAAATACGTGTAAGCATTGTTATATTGTCTGTCTATAACTGTTGCTCCACCATTTGTGTTTGTAATTTGTTGCTAAAAAAGGTTATTACATGCCAGCATTATTCGTTATCCTGTCTATCGCATTTTGCATTGTGTGTTAGACATTTCAAAGGAAAAGCTATGTGCTTTTTTTGAATATACAACATGTAATTGTCTTTGTTTAATTTGACAGGAAACTTGACTGGGAGTGGCAATTAATAGCTTGAAGCCTTTTTGTTTTTTTGAGCAGTTGTTCGCTGTCTGCCAAACTGCTGAATGCTGTGAAGTGACTTGAATTTATTGCCGCCATACAGCGCTCCTATCTCAAATTCAGTCAGAGCAAAGAAATTGTCTGAACAACGGTTCGAATGTTGGAAAATCCTCAAGTTGGGTCACTGGTATTACACGGCACCACTGTGTTTCCTTTGCACTGGCAAACTTTCCATCAACAACAATTACAATCTAACAATTTTTGATATACGACACAAACTGCAGCAGGAAGGTCAGTCCAATACCTTTACTTTGTTTTAATTTTCAAATCTTGATTTCCATTGCATATTCTGATGACAGGTTCACTGAGTCTATAAAACATCTGCTGAGTGTTATTTTCAATGGCTCAGCAGCACTTTTCAATTTTTCCATGGGGCAACCCACTTTTGTTGTAAAATGTGCTGTGAAGACACTGGAAAACACTTGCATGTGGCCAGCGGTATAAACACTGTGCACTGTCTCGAGTCTGGAAAGGAAGTCCATGCAGTGGAGGCCATGATTACAGAGGTGGTCACTGAGATCACAGAATGTGACTTTTCTGTTTTTTTTTTCCCGCCAGCTGGTTTGTGTGGTTAACTCATACTGTATGCTCCAACAACCCATGAAAAAGAAAAACATCTCAATGATACATCCATCCATCCATTATCTGATCCGCTTATCCTCACGAGAGTCATGGATGTGCTGTCGAAGAATACTCTGTAAAAACGCTCAATGTTGGAATTAGGAATGTCCTGGTATTTTTGCTTACCTCCAAGTTCATGTCACTTGATTCTGAATATGTGCCAAGAGAGAGTCCTGATCCAATACTTTGGCAATGCAATAAGATGAGAAAAAAGGTACAGTGAAATTGTTTGCATTGTTTTAATTACTTTTTTTTCTCCCGCCAAATAAACATTTCCTAGCATGAACCGTTTTCTGTGACAAAAATTTCTCGTGCAGCAGTGGTTCAAACCAACGATTTTCTAATCGGCTTATCCTCACGAGGGTCACTGGCGTGCTGGAGCCCATCCCAGCAGTCTTCGGGCAGTAAGGGTACAACCCTGAACTGGCTGACAGCCAATCACAGGGCACACAGAGACAAATAACCATTTGCGCTCACAATCACACTGAGGGACAATTTAGAGTGTTCTATTAGCCTGCCATGTATGTTTTTAGAATATGGGAGGAAACCAGAGAAAACCCACACGGGCACGGGGAGAACATGCAAATTCCACACAGGAAGGCCGGAGCGGAATCGAACCCTGCACCTCTGCACTCTGAGGCCAACATGCTAACCAGTCGCCTGCACAAATGATGATTAATACAAATTACATTTAAATATACTAGATTAACTAAAATCTCAAAAATATCTTTTGGAAAAAAAAGAAAAATCACTCCGTGCAGCAACAAACAAACGATCAGTGAAATCAGTTCCACACAGTGTAACATTGCATTGGTAAAACTACAGGACTTCACTCCAATTTGAAAGATGCCGCTTCACATACGAAATGAGAGCGTCGCAAGAAAGTTAGCAGATACTTGTTCTCAAGTAGCCAGAGTTTGAAAAGAAAAGCAAGTGCCATAAAGATAAAGTAAAAACATCTTTGGCATTTTCACTGCAAAGCTGATTACAATTGTCAATTAGTTGTCAAATATGTGTCTGTCAAGCATGCATGAGACTTGTTGCTATAGCAGTGGTTCTTATCATGGGTTCGATCGAACCCCAGGGGTTCGGTGAGTCGGTCTAAGGGGATCGACGGAGCCTCTGCCATGGAGGTTAAGACACACGTGACTCAACATGTTAATTAGTTATGACACGCCCGCTTGGCCATCGCTGGCTGCAGATGATCAGATGACATTGCTTGTCCAATCAGTGCTGTGGGAAAGTTAGTTCGCTTCGTAGTCAACATGTGACTATCGTGATAGTACGTCGTTCAATTGAAAAAAAAAGTATACTTATCCCTTGAAATTTGATTAACTTTTTTCAGTTTTTAATAAATGCGGGTTTTTTTGAATTTGTAAGCGTTTTCACTCATGAAGGGTTCGGTGAATGTGCATATTAACTGGTTGGGTTCGGTACCTCTAAAAAGGTGAAGAACCACTGTGCTATAGGCCGACACAAATTCAATACAAGACAATGTCACATTCAGAATAACTTGTCAATCGACACATTTACGGAACCAAGCAACTAACAGATGATTTACTTGAATTAAAACTGCAACCTTTAGAAATGTAGGGCAGATGCTTGGCAGAAAAGAAAAAAAAAATCATGTAGCCGACTCTCATGCTCCAACTACACATATTTGACTCCTGGAAGTTTTTCCTTTTTGGATGCATCTGAGAGTGTATTCAAGTAGAGTCACTCACCTTGTCCAAGGCGACCACCAGACAGTGCCTCCTTTGCCGTACCGAAGCCCAGCTCTCGACACACCACTGTGGCAGACTGCAGGTTCCACTTGTCATCACATATGGTGCCCCACTCTCCATTTTTCAACACTTCGACACGGCCCTCGCCTACTATGGCCCCGCCACGCACACGGACCAATGGCTGCTGAAGAGGGGAAAAAAAAACTTTCTTTCAAAAAAGAAAATCAACCTAAGAGTAGAGTAGATAAAAACAGGCAAAGTGGTAGCGATTCAGATCTCCCGGCAACGGTTGAGCAAAACTTCAACTGTTTAATTGTACATGTAAACACATGCGCAGCACAGTTTATACAGTTTATACATCCGCCACACATTGCGTTCACAGCCTTCGGCGCATGCTTTCATACCTGAAATAACTCAACTTGACAAAATGTCAACTTGTTGAAATTATTCACCATGCAGGAATCAATTTAGTAAATAATTTCTAGGATCACCGGCGATTGAAATATACAATGAATTTTTGCTATGTTATGGTTTATCGTTCGCACCCTAGCTTCATAGCAGACTTTTTAATGGATTTTTGCACTGTAAAGGCAAGTCTGAATTTAAAGTCGCACAACTTCCATGTACTAACACGCAGCATTCAGGTCTGTTGGAAGAGATACAGCGTGTTAAGAAGAAGAGGCAGAGAAGGTCCCAAACTACTTTGTAATTCAGCAATAGTCATTGTTACCCCACAGCAGAGAGAATACCATACGTTCCAGACTATAAGCCGTTAAAATTTCTTCCCATGCTTTGAACCCTGCGTCTTTTAACGTGACACGGTTTATTTATGATTTTTTACTGATGGGCTTCAAGCTGCCGACAGATTTACCCGCAGTCTCGTCACATCAGAGCAATGCAATTACCAAACATGTCACATTGGCCCAATGAAACTGTCCGAGTTCGCCGTCATACTGAATATTGACCATCCATTTGCGGTTGAAATGCACACGCATGAGGAAGAGCGAAATAGTATACAGCAGAGCGGAAATAAGCATTTTGAGCTGAGTGTGATGAGCATCGGGAACGAGTGCCATCAAAACAGCCATCTCTGCACTGTGACCCCGTGGCTCTGTTGTTTGTTTGGCTACTGACTCCAACCATGCCCAGAGGACAGGAAGTCCGGCTATGGAACGATATCCCCCTCCGTCTCCCGAACACATACCAACTGGTTTTCCAAAGGCAGCATTGCAATAATAAAAGTCCTTTTGTGTGGTGACCTCTTTGTTTGCAAATATCCCAAGTAATGCGGAGACCTGCAGCTATGATGTGCATATTTCTTTTAATAGCTAAATCTAGCTTCTGTGGCTTTTAATCAGGTGCGTTTTGTAGTCTGGAAATGGCGGTATATGCCGGTGAGTATTGCTGTGCCCTGCTTGTATGTGTTGCTGCTCCGTGTGATCAAGTAGCAGTTGCTAGAAGATATCGACTGTGTTCATTGTGAAACATTCATTTCCATCTCGGGCGGTTTGCATTATATGTTTACATTAAGCTGTCAGACTTTAATGAGATGAAATGATGTGGGTTGACTGAACATTTTGGTGTTAAAATGTAAAATGGTTTCTTCTCCTTTTTATGTGTCAGTATTCTAGTAAACTTGAACTGGAAGTGACACATAAACAGCTTGACGCAAGCATGCTTTTCCCCTTTTTTGGAGAATTGTGCTGCACAACAGTCTTGGCGTCAATCTTGACAGTAAGATGGAGAGAGAGCGAGAACTAACTTTGTGGAATACTCGAGTTGAAGTGTATTTCTGCTTTTCTTTTGGATGTCTTTTAATATTCCTGAATATGTTTAAAGATGTTTAAAACTATTTTTTGAGTGGGTTTTTTTTCATATGGTTCCTCTATATCACGGGTGGGTCTAGACTAGAGTGTATCCAGTAGGGGCACAAGCCAAAAGTCACTTCAACTGTATATCGGAGACCATTTCTCATGTATCAAAGTTTGTATCTTTTACCTGAGGTGAACGTTTTTAGTTCAAACTACTTGATCATAAAGGCTTTGCAAGACCTGTGTTTATGGGTGGGCCAAAGGGGGGGGGTGCCCACCCGTGAAAATGCTTGTGATTTTTAATTTCATCATAGTAGCTACTTTTGTGTTAAAAAAAAAAATTATGGTACTGTACACAAAAAAAAAAAAAAAAAACATTATATTTGAGAGTTCCGTGCCTTAAGCGAGGGGCACAAGCCTCTTGTTGGTTGGTCCCCCGTGATCCAACCATAGTGATGGTTGCTTTCATTTGCTGTTCAACTGACACCAACCAAAGTGCTTTTCAAACATGAGCAGAGGTTGAGTGAGACTGTACCTCTTGTCTGAAGGCCTTCTTAAATCCAGTCGCTGATGAAGGAGCAAAGGCTTTGCCAGGGACGCAGCTCACCACTACGGGCAACCCCTCAGCACAGGTTCCGTTCGACTCCAAGGATGTATCCCTCCCCAGTTTACAACTGGACAAATGAGCCTCATTGCCGGTGCAGTTGACGGCGTACTCCCAGTATGTGGGCTTCCTCCTGCGAGCAAACATCCTGAGGATCAAGGAGGAAGACATCAGTTACGATACTGAACCGCACAGGCACGTTTATGTATGCAAATATATACCGTATACACTGACTACAGTATGTACATTAGGGAGTGAGAGCCAACACAGGGAAGCCCATTAAAACTGGCGTGGCGTGTTGTTTTTCAATTATGATCACTGTTCGGTCTTCTTTGACCATTTAGGTTTCATTTTGCCGCTGAGTACTTGCATGAAGGATATTTTCATTCGAGCTGACAAGTCTAAAATTTGCAAAGATGTGTAAGATTTTCATTGGAATATACATGAAAAGGTGAGGGGTTATGAAAAGAAACTCGCCCGTCCATTAAGATTTCATTAGATTTGCTTCAGCACGATGTAGTTTATATTCACTGAACTAATTTTTATCCCTCCGGGTGAAGTGGAATTTACACTCAGTTGTATATTTTTGCAATGATGACAAATGGTAATTAAGAGATTTATACTTAATAAACATGGAAAAACCTCTTATGCTAACAACCAGGGGACCTGCTGGGGTGCTAATCTGTCTTTTGAAGGAATCCCACTTTATGTAAATATTTATTACGCTCATTAAATACAACAGCACATCCTAAACTACTGTCTTACGTCGAAGATGAATGTGGAAAAAACAGATGGTGAAGGCAACGCTTGCTTTTCATTTGGGACAGGATAAGATTCCCAATTAATTTTGTTAGCCACAGGCGGGCAATTAGGGGCCAGCTGGAATGCATATTTGCGCTGTTTGATAGAACAACAACGGAAGGAAATTTCTACTGATACACTTCTTTGCTATCATGAAATGACGAAGATATTAATCTGGCCTGAAAGTCACCCTGCACTCTGAGTTCAGTCATGATGATGCAAAAGAGTGTAAAAAGAGTTTTTTTTCTGTTAACCTGTACCGAGGTGTCTTTACATCTACACAGTCATTTTTGTCGTGGGCCATATTATAATTATCATTTCACTTGGAGGGCCGTGATGACTGAAACTATATAAAGAAGTCAAAAATAATGTTTTATTCAACTATTGTTTAAGTTACTGTCATGAAGGGTTTGGTGACAAGAAAATGCTTACAATATCGTTCTTATTTATTGCAGATGAGAATTTTCGATTTTGTTACAGATTTCAGCAAGCATCATGGACGTTGACATGTTTGATTTGCTTTTGCAGGCCACATAAAATGAGGTGGTGGGCCACATCTGGCCCCCGGGGCTTGTGAGTTTGACACCTGTGGTCTACAGAATGAATTACAGAATGCTTTACATCCCATTATTTCAACTATGTTTAAATTAGCCTGTTTTGAGAGGGCGGGGCTGTCCCATGGAAATGAACCACCGCTCACCCCTAACCTCTTCACCTCTGGCCCAATGCTGGGTAAGGCTTATCTTACATTGACGACAGATGGCGGACCAAGGTGGTGGCAATGAGGTGGTTTGAGAGTCAAAAATAAAAAAGGGAGCATGCAGCTTTGGTGTAGAGGACACTTTGATCAGAATTAAAAAAATAAACTAAAATATATATGTATGTATGTATGTATTATATACATGCTCACCAGAGGTGAAGAGGTTTTATATATATTTCGATCTTCGATCTTCGATCTTCAATCTATATATATATATATATATATATATATATAGGCCTCCTTTGATACAGTTCGTTTATAGCGGGTTCAGTGCATCGCGGATTTTTTCAAACATAAAATTTTTTTTTTTTTTTTTTACAGATACATGGAGTACAGTACTGTATATGTTGCTCTATGTGACTCGCTGTTGTTTTGCAGCTTCTCGCGGACCGTTTGCGGACTTTAAAAAAAAAAGATTTATTTATATATTTCTTTTACCTGTTTACGTTAATTGGAGGCTACTTCGCGGATTTTCGTTTATTGCGGGTGGTTTTGGTTCCCATTAACCGCGATAAACGAGGGATTACTGTATATACAGTCAAAACTCGGTTTTCGAACGTCTCGGTTCTCGACCAATTCGGTTTTCAACCAAAAATTTCGAGTTTTTTATGCCTCGGATGACGAATAAATTTCGGTTCTCGAACAAACTGAGCGCACTTGAATGCACCATTTGACTCCTCTCGCCTTCCTTAGACGAGGAAGTGACGCTTCTTCGGGTAGACGAGGAAGTGACGCTTCCTCGTGTTGCTTTCCATTGTGAGCAGACGTGTTGAATAAACATTTTTATTTTAAAAAGAGCGTGGTTTCGGTTTTCGAACAATTCGGTTTTCGAACAGCCTTCTGGAACGGATTATGGTCGAAAACCGAGGTTTGACTGTGTGTATATAAATATAT